TACTACAACCAGGTGCAAAGACACTGTCCATGCACTCCAACAAATGTAAGCATTGCCGTTTCTGAAAAATCTATCAAATCAGACAGCGGCTATGGACACCTTTCTAGTGGAGATTTTAAATAAGACATACAATGCAAGTCTCCATCTAGAGTGGAGTGTATTAAAGTAACATACTATAAATTAACTAGGAACACTCTAGTTATGATAGCATTTTTTAATATGACACAATGATGTTATCTGTGGCCAGAATAAAAGTAAGTGGCCTTGGAGCCTTTAAAACTGAGCAGTACATTAGAACAGATTGCTTACCAGATAAGTGAAGCATTAGTAATATTTCCTAGAAGTCCTAATGATCCTCCATTACAATAAAATCAGAACTGATTTAATCAGTTGTCAAAATCACATAAAACAGGTTTTTATTGGACATATATTATCCAGTTTAAATAAGGATTGGGAAACCAAGCAATATATCTAATTCCCATGCTTCAAATAAGCTATACATTAATCTATTATATTCATTATTGGGAATGTTTACATCGGCACATGTATATATTTATTTAATTTTAAAAGAAGATCTTCAGTATAAAGTACCTAGAACTGATTATTATGGATCAGCACCTTTCAATTACTTCATCTTGAATTAACTTCCTATGCAAAAACTCTGCTTTGTACAAAATTTTCGAAACGGGAGGTTTGGCCCCTAAATCCCAGAATAGCTGACTTGATATTTAAAAATCTAATTGTATGTGTGACTAGGGAATTGGGCGAATCTTTAAAACTGTTAGAATTTGAAGCAAAACAGTTATGTACAACTGATTCTTACTGGATTTTTGAGGGTTTCTGGAACCTGGTTTAGTCATTATACGTTACATTTGATAAGAGGTTAATGTGTTACTTTGACATTTCATCACTTTTTTCATCATTTTTTTTCTCCGTCATCTGAAGACGGATGTGCTAGGAAATGAAAAATTATTTAATTGCTCATGTAATTATTGTTCTATATTTCCATGCTCCGAATTGCCAAACAATGTAACCAACAGGGCGTGCTAATATTTTATCTGGCAGAGTAACAGAGAGGACAGGATAACCTTTTTCTAAGCCACATTTCACTTCACAATATGATGCATATGTAAACACTCAGAGTATGACTTCTAATTCTAACTATAGAAATAGTAAGTAAAGTAAAAAATCTATATATACATATGCATGTTTATTAATTATTTATATAACTACATAAAGTATGCAAATTTTATTTTATAAAGCCAGTAATGAAATAAAAAATGTGCAGTTATTGTGTCTTAACCTATCTATCTATCTATCTATCTATCTTATCTAATAGTGGTAGCTCACTGTGGTATATAAAAAGTGTTTAACCCCTTAGTGACTAGACCGTTTTTCAATTTTCTTACCGTTAAGGACCAGGGCTGTTTTTACATTTCTGCGGTGTTTGTGGGTAGCTGTAATTTTCTTCTTACTCATTTTCTGTACCCACACATATTATATGCAGTTTTTCTCGCAATTAAATGGTTTTTCTAAAGATACCATTATTTTCATCATATAATTTACTATAAAAAAAATATACAATATGAAGAAAAGTATTTAAAAAACACACTTTTTTTTAAACTTTGACCCCCAAAATCTGTTACACATCTACAACCGCCAAAAATCACCCATGCTAAATAGTTTCTAAATTTGGTCCTGAGGTTAGAAATGCCCAATGTTAACATGTTCTTAGCTTCTTTTGGAAAGTTATAGGGCTCTAAGTACAAGTAGCACTTTGCTATTTCCAAACCATTTTTTTGTTTCAAATTTAACGCAAGTTACATTGCAACACTGATATCTGCCAGGAACCCCTGAATAACCCTTCACATGTGTATATTTTTTAAAGAAGACAACCTAAGGTATTAAACTTGGGGTATCTTGACTCTTTTAATGCAATAATTTTATCACCAATCTATGCCAAATATAAAAAAAAAAAAAAAAATTGGGGATTTTTTTGACACACATAGCAATTTAAGAATAAACTTTAAGTATTACTGCCAAAGAACACCCCAATATGTGTTCAGCAACATCTGCTGAGTACAGTGATACCCCTCATGTATAGGTGTGTTGGGTTCTCTGGGGGCTAAAAAACCTTATTTGGAGGGTGCGCATTCCAGTTTTCATATTGGAATTTTTTTCCATATTGGTCATCATGCACTCATGTCCTATTTGGGACATTTTTTAAGTCGGCCAATGTAATTTACCCACACCAAACCATATAGTTTTGAAAAGTAGACACCCTAGGGTATCTCAAATGGTGGTATTTTAACACTTTTCATGCACTAATTCTACCACCAGTCTTTGTCAACCTTTTGGGTAGTCATTTGTTTGTGTTATTTTTCGCACACATTGTACTTTAGGCATGGATTCTCAGCTCCTGTTATGTATTACTGCCAAAGAACACCACAATATGTGTTCAGCAACATCTTCCGAGTACAACAGTGCCCCTAATGTACAGGTTTTATGGGTTTTTGCAAATTTACAGGGGTCAAATGCAGGGCTTTACCCTTTTCCATGTTTGCACATTGAAATTTGCCAGATTGGTTTGCTGGGCCCATGTTGCCTTTGAGACCGTATAGAAGCCCAGGAATGAAAATTAACCCCATCATGGCATACCATTTGTAAAAGTAGACAACCCACGGTATTCAAAATGAGGTATGTCCAGTTTTTTGTAGTAGCCACTTAGCCACAAACGCTGGCCAAAGTTAGTGTTTTTATTTATTTTTTATTAAAAAAAATGTCTTCAATTTATATTATATATATATATATATATATATATATATATATATATATATGTGTGTGTGTGTGTGTATATATATATATATATATATATATATATATATATATATATAATCATCCCACAATCTAAATACTGCAATATAATTGGTTAGAACTTATATATACAAATATCACACCTACCAAACGTGGTGCAAGGAAAAACAGCCAGTGAACCGGCGTCAGGGTCATGGGCACCTAGGGCTTATTGATGCATATGGAGAGCGAAGGCTAGACAGTCTGGTCTGATGACACAGAAGCGCTACTTTAGCTCAAACTGCTGAAAAATGTAATGCTGGCCATAATACCAAGGTGTCAGTACACACAGTGCATCACAGTTTGCTGTGTATGAAGCTGCATACAGGGAGTGCAGAATTATTAGGCAAGTTGTATTTTTGAGGATTAATTTTATTATTGAACAACAACCATGTTCTCAATGAACCCAAAAAACTCATTAATATCAAAGCTGAATATTTTTGGAAGTACTTTTTAGTTTGTTTTTAGTTATAGCTATGTTAGGGGGATATCTGTGTGTGCAGGTGACCATTACTGTGCATAATTATTAGGCAACTTAACAAAAAACAAATATATACCCATTTCAATTATTTATTATTACCAGTGAAACCAATATAACATCTCAACATTCACAAATATACATTTGACATTCAAAAACAAATCAGTGACCAATATAGCCACCTTTCTTTGCAAGGACACTCAAAAGCCCGCCATCCATGGATTCTGTCAGTGTTTTGATCTGTTCACCATCAACATTGCGTGCAGCAGCAACCACAGCCTCCCAGACACTGTTCAGAGAGGTGTACTGTTCAGAGAGGTGTACTGTTTTCCCTCCTTGTAAATCTCACATTTGATGATGGACCACAGGTTCTCAATGGGGTTCAGATCAGGTGAACAAGGAGGCCATGTCGTTAGATTTTCTTCTTTTATACCCTTTCTTGCCAGCCACGCTGTGGAGTACTTGGACGCGTGTGATGGAGCATTGTCATGCATGAAAATCATGTTTTTCTTGAAGGATGCAGACTTCTTCCTGTACCACTGCTTGAAGGTGTCTTCCAGGAACTGGCAGTAGGACTGGGAGTTGAGCTTGACACCATCCTCAACCCACACGAAAAGGCCCACAAGGCTCATCTTTGATGATACCAGCCCAAACCAGTACTCCACCTCCCACCTTGCTTTTGGCGTCTGAGTCGGACTGGAGCTCTCGCCCTTTACCAATCCAGCCCACTTGGGCCCATCCATCTGGCCCATCAAGACTCACTCTCATTTCATCAGTCCATAAAACCTTAGAAATCGGTCCCGAGATATTTGCTTAGCTGATCTTGGCGTTTCAACGTGTGTCTTGTTCAGTGGTGATAGTCTTTCAGCCTTTCTTACCTTGGCCATGTCTCCCAGGTATTGCACTCAGTGTTGCAGCTCTGAAATATGGCCAAACTGGTGGCAAGTGGCATCGTGGCAGCTGCACGCTTGACTTTTCTCAGTTCATGGGCCGTTATTTTGCGCCTTGGTTTTTCCACACGCTTCTTGCGACCCTGTTGACTATTTTGAATGAAACGCTTGATTGTTCGATGATCACGCTTCAGAAGCTTTGCAATTTTAAGAGTGCTGCATCCCTCTGCAAGATATCTCACTATTTTTGACTTTTCTGAGCCTGTCAAGTCCTTCTTTTGACCCATTTTGCCAAAGGAAAGGAAGTTGCCTAATAATTATGCACACCTGATATAGGGTGTTGATGTCATTAGACCACACCCCTTCTCATTACAGAGATGCACATCACCTAATATGCTTAATTGGTAGTAGGCTTTCGAGCCTATACAGCTTGGAGTAAGACAACATGCATAAAGAGGATGATGTGGTCAAAATACTCATTTGCCTAATAATTCTGCACTCCCTGTAATGTCAGATTCTGTGTAATAATCTGAGCCGTGTTTACTAATGACAGATTCTGTGTAATAATCTGAGCCGTGTTTACTAATGTCAGATTCTGTGTAATAATCTCAGCCGTGTTTACTAATGACAGATTCTGTGTAATAATCTGAGCCATGTCTACTAATAGTCAGATTCCATGTAATAATCTGAGCCGTGTACACTAATGTCAGATTCTGTGGAATAATCTGAGCCGTGTTTACTAATAGTCAGATTCTGTGGAATAATCTGAGCCGTGTTTACTAATAGTCAGATTCCATGTAATAATCTGAGCCGTGTACACTGTCAGATTCTGTGGAATAATCTGAGTCGTGTTTAATAATGTCAGATTCTGTGTAATAATCTGAGCCATGTACACTAATGTCAGATTCTGTGTAATAATCTGAGCCGTGTTTACTAATGTCAGATTCTGTGTAATAATCTGAGCCGTGTTTACTAATGTCAGATTCTGTGGAATAATCTGAGCCGTGTTGAATAATGTCAGATTCTGTGTAATAATCTGAGCCGTGTTTACTAATGTCAGATTCTGTGGAATATTCTGACCCGTGTTTACTAATGTCAGACTCTGTGGAATAATCTGAGCCGTGTTTACTAATGTCAGACTCTGTGGAATATTCTGAGCCGTGTTTACTAATAGTCAGATTCTGTGGAATAATCTGAGCCGTGTTTACTAATAGTCAGATTCCATGTAATAATCTGAGCCGTGTCTACTAATAGTCAGATTCTGTGGAATAATCTGAGCCGTGTTTACCAATGTCAGATTCTGTGGAATATTCTGAGCCGTGTCTACTAATAGTCAGATTCTGTGGAATAATCTGAGCCGTGTTTACTAATGTCAGATTCTGTGGAATATTCTGAGACGTGTTTACTAATGTGAGATTCTGTGGAATATTCTGAGCCGTGTTTACTAATGTCAGATTCTGTGGAATAATCTGAGCCGTGTATACTGATCTCAGACTCTGTGGAATAATCTGAGCCGTGTTAAACATAAAGACCAGCACAGCAGTTTTTGTTATGCAAACTATAAATCATTTCTGGGTCACTGGCAGGGTTATACACTAAAATAGGAATTGCTGGGAATTCAAAGGGAATTTTAAATTTAAAACCAAACTGGAAGCAGGATGGACTTGGAGAATGCCCCCTTTAATGAATAATTCTGTAAATGTTAAGATACAAGTATGATAGAATAGCACGATTGAGATAGAAGTACTAGCGGTCATTAGGCTGGTGACTGGTGAGGAGGAGAAGGGAGGTTAAGATAAGATGGTAGATAAGA